TGCGTTCTTGCACTGAGAAATTTCAACATCTGTCAACCATCTATCAACCACACAACACGTACAAATACAACAACAATGACAATTTACACTCATGGATAGAGATCTCTTCGACGCCAACAAGGACACAGGCCCCCTCTTTAGATGGAGGCCCAGGTGTGGTAGCCTTGACCCACTTCCGGCGGATGAGAGTTTTCTTTCTTCATATTGGGCAAGGAGAAGATCTCGCGGAGACAGAGAGACTCCAGTGGCACCGAAGGGGGGGGGGTAGGGCAGCCCGAAGACCTCCCACTCCCCGTCTCCGCAGGTGGCTTGAGGTAGAATCCTATCCATGACAGGGTTTTCTTGCTGTTCCCAACAGGAAAAAATGATATGCACCCACGGTTACGCACATAAGCCATGCACCCATAACTTGGCAGTCCCGCCTATGCAGACCTGCACGAACACCGTCACCACCCAAGAGCGACCTAGCCCTACTCCAAGGCCCACCAACCTAGCACCTAGCCACGTCAGGACCAACCTAGCACCTATCCAGGCAATACCAACCTACATGTAGATGTTCCCATCAACGCCAATCTAGCACCTATATCCAAGCAGTAACAACCTAGAGTTTTCCCCGTCAACACCAACCTGGCCCTAATGCAGGCACAACAACCTAGAACTGAGCCATCCAGCGCCAACCTAGCACCTATCGGGTGGGTTTGGGGTTATCTTTAGGGTTTTTAGCCGGTTTCGTGCCCCTGCCGAAGCAGAGCATCTAGAGTTTACAACTACAAAAATTGCCTTTGGTTACAAATCATCTGGTCGCTGGTTAAAGGGACACATCTGCAGCGTGCGTGCAGAAGGGCTGGTCAGGGGTTGACCCTCGGAACATTTTCTCCTTTTTTCGCCTGCAAGTTGTGTTTTCGGTCTGTCAAGGGCATGGGCGCATGGCTTATGTGCGTACCCATGGGTGCATATAACTTTTGGCGTTCCCAGCAGGATCCGCCGCTCCTACATTATCGTGTCTGGCCTTCTTTTTTTTTTTTGTCGTCACTTCAAATCAGCGCTCTCAGCACTAGTGCCGTATACTACAACCCGTGGACGAACAGAAGGACCCTTCTCTACCCTACCCTCCTGCAGTACGTTGCCTTCGATTTTTTATGCGAGAAGAGTTCAGCACTCCCTTCCCTCTGTGTACAGTACACACGAACTAGCGCTATCCACCAGGTCAGGAGCGGAAGCGAGAGAAAAGCTCACCTTGCAAGGAAAGCTCGCTTATGCCGGGATTCGAACCCCTGACCTGACCTCTAGAAAGTCTCGAGGATACCAACTAGACCACCGGGGTGACCGGCAGTGTGTTGGTGTATGTGGGCCAATGGTTACAGCACTACTACACCTGTCCTCCACAGCAGTTGTTGTTGTTGTTGTCCTCACATCAACCGTTCCGATCTCTCTACCCAGTACCTTCATCTGTCCGTACTAGTCCCACACTTGACGCGGTCGACTCCCGCGGTCACAGGCGAACTTACCCCAAAAGAGATATGCTTCCATAAAAAACGGACCCGAGGTTCCGCAAGTCAATAGAAATCAACGACAGATAGCCTAGAACCGCCCGCTCGCCTCCACACGCTATGCGAGGTAAACATTGCAATTGAAACATTGACTGAAACAGCAGATTTTTTTTTTTTCTTAGATCAAGTAAAAGCGTCACCTAAGATCCCACCCCACCACAATACCAGACCCGGTGTAATGAATTCAAGGTCGAAGAGTGTTGCAATGTATCGCCGGGGGTGTTATCTTTGAAAGAACCGCGGGGCGGTGAGGACGCGACCGCTTTTCGCCTTCATCTCAGCAGGGAAAAACTAAGTATCGGGCTTTCCAACGCGATGCAGGGGCCCCTCGTTTGATTTCAGCTTGCTTTTCGGGCGCTCTACATATCCCTCCTTTTCGAAAAAAAGGAAAATAGGGTATTCTTCGTCACGCCGGTTTGGTGGTGCGATGGCGCCTCACAACAGGCATTTGTCCCGAAAATTTGTACCACTCCGGCCGGAAATAAAGTGTCGCTTCGGACCAAAAGTCGGCACAACTCCGCTTACAGTTAGAGAGACTTTGTTTTTTAAACGGATTTTTTCATCGGGTTCGTAACGTTCTCACGAGACTGGCACAGCCGTTGCTTTTTCAACTTTGAGAAATCATGAAAACATCAGGTAGTTTTTGAGGTTGGTATTTTCAGGGACCCTTAGAACTCCGGGGATGATATTTTTCCGTCCCTTCGTCACCCGGGGGATATGTTGGCCGCCCCCCCCCCCCAACCCCCCGAAACATATTTTTAGCACTTGCAGGCTTTGGAAAAAACATAACGCCGCCCGAAACAGCGTCCATGCTTCGCATCTAAAACGACACTACTTTTCCGGCCGGAGTGGAAGGAGAACCCTCATTCTATCCCCGGGAGTTGTCGAGGTAAAGGGGGAACACACGGCGGAGATCCCACGTACGAACTGAATCCTGACGAAAATTCATTGGTTCACCCGGTTATCCGTTATCCGCGGTCTATGCAGTTTTTTTAGATTCCCAGGCGCCAACGCGTCACCCAACCACCCTATTAACCTCTTCATTTTGGAATCACCCAAAGTTCCCTGCGGCCCCTCCCTTACTTGCTGTCTTGGACGAGGATGGGTATTATTAGTAGCACCAACTTCCTACAGCTGTAAAATCAAGACAGCTAGGAATTGAAAAGGAAATCTGTACCCTGTTTTTGATAGATACCGCGCAAGGTGTTACGCCGCCTGTGAATTACTTTTTCGGTTCCAGGGGCCGCAGCGAACACCCACACACACATCTCGGGGTTGAAGTCTGCGCGTGGGCGGGTTTTGGGAACTACTCTGTGCTTTCGGAGGGCGTCGAGTCTGGGTTGACTTTCTGTTGCGGCGATTTGTTTTGCTCCTGGAATGGTTGTGGGGATCAACCAGGGGGGGGGGGGGGGGGACGTACTGCCAGTGCAGTTCGTCGCGCGTTGCTGTAACCCCGCCAGACGGCAGGCTGAACGAGGCGAAAACCAGCATGTGACGGGCGACCAAAGAGAACCGGCATCACGCAGAAACGCCCACACACGCGTCGTGCGAAAACAGACTCCCGCGACACATTCTGGAACACGTTAGCCGGCACGCATGCTTTAGTTGCCGACACCCGTAACCTTGGCATACCGTGCAGCGGGTCTAGGCATGCACGACATACATCTTGAACGTCCTCCGTGCCCCCCCTCCCCCCCCCACCCCGAATTTTCAATCAGAAGGGA